AAATTAAAATAAAAATTTCATGACCTTTATGTTGGAGTTCTATATATCTCAAATTTTTCAAACGTATTAATATATAAAAAATTATCAATATGGTATATATATATGTGGTGGATATATGTTATGCATATGTGTTATACTACATATAAAGATTTTGTGAATGATTTTTTTGCATTTTCTGTACAACTAAAATGCTTAAAATTAATTAATGTATAACATTTTATTTACAATATTTACTTCACATATTAAGTCATAAATGTTATGCTGCATATAAATTCCCTTTATAAATTGAACCCGGATCAATTACAAAGTAAAAACTCCACTCGTAATGCAACGATACTAAATTTAAATTAAATTTATAAATAATCAAAGGTCGAAGAGCCAGTTAATTACACCAACAAAACGTAAAAACTAGAAAATTACAGTTAACAACACCAAAAAACGCAAATAAATGTAAATGTAGTAAAAAATTATATTACATTATTTCACAGAAACAATTTTACATACAAAAGCATTGTTAAAATGTGCTGAAAAAGTTCAATAAGTGTAAGTGTAAACATATAATAATTACGTGTAACTTTAAGAATTTTTAAATCCATAATTCTTAATACGATATTCTTATTTCAAAATTTTTGTACCAAAATTATGAATTTAATACTTTGAATTTAATATTTTTTCTTAATATTAAATTATTTTCAAATTTTAAAACATCAATGTTATTTTTTAACATACTATTTGATATATCATATACAAAATATTACACTTAATGCAATTTCTTATATATCAAATTTTCAAACTATATACCGTTAAACTTAATACTTTATATAAATAGTTTTCATATTAAAGTTAATATGAATAATTAGTTTTTGAAATATGTTCTTATTCTGTCCAATTACTCGAAACTGTAAGTTTATAAAAACAGTTTTCATATTAAAATTACTAGGCCAAAAATATTTTTTTTAAATATCTCATTATATCCAACTATTTGAAGCTGTAAGTTTATAAAATTGGTTTTCGTGATTTTATTTTATTAACTAAAAATTAGTTTTTATATATATATAAGAAGCTTATGTTACCATTTTATGTATATATTATATATAAAGTAGTATTCGATTCATTTAGCAGTTTTTTTTTTTTTTTAAATACATTCTCAACAAATTCACTTTTTCATGGGAAAACTTATTTCACCAGACAAACTGTCTCTTCCATTGTAGAATAAAGTAATTAATAGCTTTCACTTCTATAGTTTGGATATAAATTCCAAGAATAAGTACAATTCTGTACTCGATTTTGACCTAGAACCAAATAACAGCATATATGAGGCACTCTGCAGTAACCATAAAGTCTAGCAAAATTTGATAAACTCTATTAAAAGCTAGTATTCATATTTCTTACTCAAATTTCAGTGCAAGTGTTAAAAAAAAATTTCTTAACCTTAATATATAAATAAATAAGGAAAACGAGAAATAATAACATAAGCTATTTTATGTTGTAGGCAACAACTGACAAATGTAACTAAAACAAACCGCCCTTAACACCAAACTATTCATAGGAGTCGCCCCTTAGATACTTAGGCAGAGGTTAGGGTCGAACTAAGCGAGGCAACTGAGACACACTAGCATTTAAGGGTGCAAGCGAAGTTCTAGACTTAAAGAACTGACAAAATATTTTTTTTTGTGAATATTTTAAGGATTTTGTTGTTTGTTGTTGTTTGTTGTTGTTTGTTAGTAAAAGTAACAAATTAGTTACGTTTTTGTGCCAGACTTGTGCAGGTTTCAAATATTATTTTTTCTAGATAAAAAACACAAGACTTAAGTATGATCAATTGCAGTTTGAAGGCATAAATTACTAATAAAATTTTTCTTAAATTTAATAGTTTCAGTAAAAAGTAGGTTCAAGTGGTTAATAGGTTTTGAGTTACGCATGTTGCACTTAAGGATGCTCTTTAAACGTAATTACAAAGTATCTACTTTCATTATTAGTTTCATGTTAAACAACAGTTTAAGCATTTTTACACTAAGATAACACTAAGATAAGAAGAGCCAGCAGAGCTACGATAAAGACTACGATTACGTACACCGCTTAATGTAATTGAAAGCAGCGTTTCTGTGATAAATATTTTATAATGAGTTTTTAATGTTTTTTTTATTTTTTCAGTTCAAATTGTTTTGTGGCGTTAAATCAGCATAAAACGGTGAATTACACAAAAGCAAAAGCAATTTGAAATAATTTCAAATAAAATCTAATTAATACGGTAGCTGGTCGAAAGAACCCTACAGCCAATATTTCACTTTAATCTTGTAGATACTCTTCTAACTCCGTGTTAAGTGAAGTAGTCAATAAACCAAAAAACAAATCGAAAAATAACAAAAAAAACGAAAAAAACGAAAAAACCAAAAACAAAACTTAACAAAATCGGTAGCTAAATGAATTTTGAAAGCAGCAATAAATTTCTTTTGAAATCAGCCGAAAACATTAAAACAAAAGCGAGAATTGTGTATTTGTGTGATTAAGTAAGTCTATAAGTCTATACGAAATTCTTTATCTACATGTGTACAAAGATATATCGGATTTGAATTTAAAGAGATACGTTAACTTAATTAAGCCGGTTTTACAGAAGCAAATCTTAAGTTACGAGTATTGGAAAAACAAAAACAGAAACAGAAAATCAACCAAAACCACAATATAAACAAATACGAAAACCATTAATTCTACAAAAACAAAAACAATATATATGTATTATAAAAAAAACTATTTTTTAATAGATAGAAACCAAAAAATTACCCAAGCAACAAAGTATAAAAATTTGTGAAAATTACTTTTAAAGAGGTTCAAAATGTTAAATCAAACATGAACTTAGCTCAAAGCACTTCAGCGGACTCTATCAACCTGTGAGCCGAACAAGTTTTGATGATGTGCTAAGTAGAAACTATATATAATCACCTTTGAATTTTGTTAAATACTGTTTGGTTTGTAGATACTCAAAATGTACCGTTCGCTGCTAAGAAATATTTAAAAAAATTACTGTTAAATGCATTTACCGCATCATTAATCAAATGTCATTTAAAACGTTAACGTTTAAAAAAAAATATTTATACAGGGCTATTTCATTATGGCCATTGTATAGTATTGTATACTGGTTAATATTTTGCACTTATATACGAAGTACCGAAGTTCAAAAACCTAGTGAGGGTCACTACTACTACTACTGTTGCTATTAACACAGTGTTATATTTGCGAATAAATCTATATATACTTTGAAATAGTAACTAAAATTTATAAATTTTAGTTCATTTCATTTCATTTATAAAATCATTATTGAAAAGGAGAGCTATCCACACATGGTTCTAGTGTAATTCGCATATAAAATTTTTATATTTCCATAAATTCACTTGAAAGGAAGAGTTTATATTTTCGCATCTTACACACAAAAGAACTTTCTACATAACGACAAAGCAATTCCTACCAAACCAAAGTACAGATAACAACAACGTTGTTGTTGCAAACTTTTTTGACTTTTCTTCTCATATATTTTCCCTTTTCATTTCTATTTCTTTATATTTAATTTTTAGTATTTTAACTTTTCGATTACATTAGTAATAAACACAATATTCATTAAAAGGAAAAAAGACTAAATTTATGTGTTATAAACATCTCACACGTTCCAAATATCGCTGAAACTGTCTGGATATTTAAAATAAGCTTTGCCATAATAAGAATTTTATGTTAAAAATTATTTGAATATTTTCATATTCAAATAATAGTCTCGATATAATCCCTCTTAATGCACTGACAAATAATGAATAAAACAAGTAAAGAACCAGAATTTGTAAAATCACAAGAAATTAGCATCCAGAAGAAATAGGTATTTAGGAAGTTATTTCTTTACTCATCTTATCAGACTTTTCTTCGATAAAGACGAAATTTCAATTAAATTATATAAATTCGACGGGATGGAGTCCAAAATAAATTTTTCTACTTTTTAATATATTAAAGTATGTAACATAACTCCTTAGTTAGTTTGTATAGATTTGATGACAGGAACCATAGATGAGTCTGTTCGTATCCGCAATATAGTTGGCTTGAACTATAATAAGCAATCCAATAAATTTAAATTCACTTTTACTAAGTGAAGGTTGTTATTGTATGTGTACTCTTGATTCTACAACCTTTCTAAAAATATCTTGTATGAAATATTTTCAAGCAGATAAATGTTAATAATTATGTTTAAAATTATTTTAAAATTCATATAAAGTGATAAATATTAAAATAAAATTTAATTTTATGTATTAAAACAATTAAACTTATAAGTAAACACCCTGTTTAAAAATTTGCGAAATTTATTTAATCAGTAAATTCCATAATCGGCATTTGGACATACATAGTTCTCTAATAGCTTACAGTTAAGCATCGTTTAGAAATAATTACTCGTACTTTTGACATTTCTAGCCCCAAACGTATACGCTGGTTTCCCATGTCACGTAGCAATTTAATAATAGGAATAATAATTTTCTTTATTATTTAAATAATAAAGCCATTCCGAACGTTAATCATCGCATTTAAGTATAATGTTTGCATTTAAAATACGCGCATTAAAGTAATTTAATCATTCGACCAGTCGATTTAATTAATGAAATCGATGGCAATTTGTCGAGTGTTGGTGTTACAACTTGTCTAAGTCTCAAGTACGACTTGGCGTACTCGTGTAATTAAAAAGTCAAGTAAATCATTGAAAATTGTTATTCACACTCTTGTTTTCGCTGTAATAATTTCAATTAACATCGATTAAATTGAATAATTTATTATAAATAATACAATTTATTAGTTGAGAAAATCTGTTAACTTGACATTCAATATAATTAGTTTAGACATAGATTGAGATTGAGTTCAAGTCAGAGCTTGTTAACAAACTTAACAGCAGTATATAATTAATTAATTTTTAATATAACTTTATTCCTGAAAAATTTATTTATTTATACATATTTTTTTCTTATATTTTACAGATAAATCTCATTTGGATCTCTTTTCTAATCGGCCACAACCAAAGAAAAAACGCAAGTCTCGTACAGCATTTACAAATCATCAGATTTTTGAGCTGGAAAAGCGTTTTCTCTATCAAAAATATCTTTCGCCAGCAGATCGCGATGAGATTGCTGCTGCTCTGGGTCTCTCCAATGCACAAGTTATAACTTGGTTCCAGAACCGTCGAGCTAAACAGAAACGTGACATCGAAGAGCTAAAAAAAGATTTTGATAGTGTTAAAGTCTTCTCGGCGCATAAATCATTTTTGGAAAATGTCAATGATCTCAGTATACTAAAGAAAAAACCCATACATGAAGCAGATATGGTTGGTTTGGCAGCGGCCGCTGCTGGTATGGTACCCGTTCCAACAGCGGCGCAAACTCTGAGCCCACAGAAATGAGCATACTCTAGTTACTATGCCAAATACACTAAACACTTACCGAGCATGTTATAAAGAGCTGGGCCAGGAAAACAATTAAATGATCATTTTCAGTTTAATTTTATGCAAAGCGCTTTTGTTTGACTTTATTGCGCCGCTGAAAAATGCTGCACAGACGACAGAATGCGCTTTTATTTACGTGAGCAAATATTCAACTACGAACTATCTGATGATTGAGCAGTGATCTGCTGATGATAGATACACAACAGATTGGCGAAGAAGACTTCTTGCAAATAAGTGCCACAGATTGGCAGCAATCCGTTACCAATGATGATATGCGGAAAAGCACATCTATGGTCTACAATAACAACAGAACTAGGATGTGGAATATAGCAGTAGCTATCATTACTATTTGTTTTGGGAATGCTGATATTTAAAATAATATTGCGACAAGATCCATTATATTATATTAAAAAATTGAGTTCATATAATACATTAACAAATCAAAATTAAAAAAAAAATAAATATATAAAAATTATGAAAAAAAATTTACAAATATTTAATAATGCTTAAAAGCTACAAAAAGGCTCTTATCAGAGCCACCAATATATTACTAAAGTTGATAATATCTCTCAAACAAATTCTTAGTTGTGTATATATACTTTAATCATCACATAACAAAATTATATATTTAACTTTATATCCGTATAAAGTTTTCAAAAATAGATGTACCATATTCATTTCCAATTTCCAGAAAGCCAATGAAGGAAAGATAATGCAACAAAATCTAAAGATCTCTCGTTCCAGCATGTACTATGACTCCTCATAGTAAAAAACTTCCTCCATAGCATCTAAATATGTACACAATGTAATTATAAATATTCATACTTATGTATTTATACATTTTTAGATATGTGAACGAATCGTCAGTTCCAAATTTGCTTCCTTGGTCTTTGGCTTACGTTTTACTATAATAGCATAAATCGTAGCAGATCGCGATGAGATATTTGTGAATGTAAAACAAAGGGAATGTTTATTGGCAAGGAACCTAAAAATAAAAATATTTATTTTTTTATTATCAGGAAAATTCATGAGTTATAATTATTAGTTTGAAAACCACTGAAATGGAATTGGAATTGACTGAAATGGAATTGCAATATACCATAATCATCAGCACTGTAATCATTTGGATTTACAGGTCATAGCAAACATTTGGTTTCTAGACAATATGTTTTTTTGGTTTTGATGATACCAGATAGTTTGTCAACCCAACTTCAAGTAGGATTACAGACAATGAACAATATTTGTACATTTTTGTGTATAGGTGCACATAATCCAGTCACATTTATCTTGCGAGTCTCTTCTTTAAAATGGGATGCTTGTTTGCAACCATATATCCTTGGTGTACACTCTTGCAACTGCGGTGAATCCATTAAATTCATTGTGTTGAAGTAAAACTTCCTCTCTTGTGTTTATTTACAAGGTTACTATATACACTTTTTTTACCTAATCAGGATGTACGATAAAGACATGAGCATAAAAATTAAGTGCTATAAGCCAAACTATAACTACAAACTCTACTGTGATCACATAAGGGGTACGTATGTTATGTTCGCCTCTTATAATCTGGAATGAATAAAGACGTGAAAAAATCAAATCTATCTGTATGCTTGGTATATTTTACTCTGCTTGACCTGAGATTTTAATTCATTTGGAATATTATAAAAATTATTAATCCTCAAACTGGTATCAATAAATTGTTATGTGCTTAAATTAAACTCGTGCCACAAATGCGTAATTAATAAATATTTTAAATTAATGGCACTGATTATACAGTTTGTCCAACTCATAAAATACGAGTATTTTGTTTTTGTTCACAAGTATTTTTAGTGGCTCTTTCAAAATTCAAATTCATTAACTCTTAATTTAATCATTTGGCTCAACTTCAATCTTAGTGCTGTGACTAAACTTGCAAAATATTTTGTTTGGCACTAACCACACGGCGAGTATGGTATCTGCAGATCTATAACAATTTCTTTTTTATTCGATAGCGTTAATTATGGTCATAATAAAAATTTTTAGATCGCGTAGCTAATTTGCATACAAATTAATTTTAATTCAAATTAAAACAATAAAATTATTGTGATATTTTTCACTCTTCTGCTCATTAATAAAACTCATACACCGCGCGATGAACAAGTGCCACTGTGGACTTACCAAAATATTTAAGATTTCGAATCATTAGAGGTTTTTCCGTGCAGCAGAGAACGACTGAGCATAGCTACTGTGCACCTCGGCGGTAATTGAACCCAACGCCATCAACTCCTCTGATTTTGTAGCAAAATATCGGCTTCATCAAAGTACGACGCCGTTCCCTTCTGGTGGAATACAGTTGCGGCGTTAAAGGCTCGTGGTGCTCCCGCCGTGTACGCCACACAATTTATACGCGTTTGCTGTGGCGATTGATTGTGTTTCGAACTAATTTGAATAATCAAGCCATCAATTTTGTTGCTAATGATATCAGAAGCATATGCATATCTGTTTCTGCTGTTGTATCTATATCTGCGTATATGGAAATGTGTGTGCTTTAATAAAACTTAAATTTCAGCTGATATACTCGTATCTGATATACTCAGCTTAACTCGAATCTGGACTGAATGAAATATTTGACTGTAGTTACATTTCAACTTCTTGTTTTCGGTAAAATTAAATTTTATGTGCTGAGCAGTTTCTCTCGTTTTAATATCGATCGTTAAGCCAATAAGACTATGTAAATTATGAAAATTAAAAAAATTATAATTAATTAAAGTTTTCTTCAACACGGTGGTCAATTTCATTTTGTTTTAATTTCACAATAATAATGCCTGTTTAATATTTTTATATGAAAACCACGGTGACTGTGGCAAATGTTTACACATATTCGATACAATAAAGAGCGGCTTATTTCTGGGTATCCATTCCAGATAAATTCTCAACTTTTTTTCACAAACTTGTGCGCCGGAGTGGTATTTATTATCTTCCGATTCTATGCCATAAATTGACTAATATTTTCTATTTTGTATTGAACTTGTTATAATTATGGGCTTTTATATATTTTATTGACTTCTCTTTTCAAAGATTTTAAATCAGATTTTGTTCGTGGGAGACTTAAAAGTGTTTGATGTGCACCGACAAAAAGAGCGGCACAAAATTCCAGAATTAGGTGTGAAATATCGCAAGATATGGAAAGTTTATTTTTAATTCAGACTGAAAGTGAAATATGTAGATAAATAAGTGGAAGTCAGTTATTTTTTATAATTATTGTCAATTTTTTAAGACTCTATTGTATAAAAAGTTATTTTTGAAACCACTTAGAAGCATCAAATAAAAATTTAAGCATAGAGTTGCCAACTCTAAGTCAAAATTAGTATTATATATATTTTTATAGAAATTTTGCGACATTTTTATTTCATAATTCAAGTAAAATTATGTAGTACATTTTTATTATGAAGATCATTTATCCAAATGCTTCCAACAGTCATTTTTTGCCATTATGATTTCAAAATTTGAGAGAAATTTTTTTTATCACTTTAAAAATATTCATACAAACATTTCCTATTTTTTATGGAATTATTTGATATTAATTTCATTTTATATTTTTTAGCGCTTCGAACTTATTTTAATGCACATATTTGAGTTGTCAGGGGAATTACGAAAATTCAATACAATATATTTCCTATGAATCTATGAATTAACTTTTTAGTAAACGTTGATTATTATTTATTATACAAAAATGATGACAAATGATTGAAATGATTTTAAAGAGGAAATATTGCGTCTGTAGACTATAAGATCTATTATGCCCCCTATAGACTATATTATTGCGTCTGTAGACTATAAGATCTATTATGCCCCTTCTTTCACCTAGAGTAAATCAGTCAGTCATATATCTTTAATAATAATATCAAAAGTATACGCATATCTGTTTCTGCTGATGTATCTATATCTGCATATTCGATTAGTACAACTTTGTGGATCCAAGCATAAGAATTAACATAAGAATTCAAACATAAGAATCAAATTTTTTTTAATTACTTGATTAGCAGCCTGAAGATCCCAGCTAGATTCAGTCTTGTTTTCTTGCTAACTCCATTTAGTTTTTGTATTTTAAAATAATTAATCTCTATCGTTTAACTTATACGAAATAAGAGATAGATCTATATGAATTTACCATAAAAATTCGCTTAAGACCGCTTAAGATATGTTAAAATTAATTTGAAACACTTGCCAACAAAGTTACAGGGGATCCGAGCCCCTCAGTACGACAATTCGGAAAAAAAACTGCTAACAACTAGATGAAAGCCTTATATATAAGACTTATATTAAACACATGTGATGGTTACTACAGCAAACATCACAAAAACATAACAATTGATTACAATATTCAAATGATAGCCTTTATATGCAATCACAGGTATCAGAATCACGACCGAGCTTGAAAACCTATGGTACTATAGGGTGTGGTTTGAGTATTAAACAAATGAAGCAGTAACACCAAAAGGAATAAAACTGAGAGACTTTAAGAGCTATAGATATAAAAACAAGAAAAGTGTTTTTCTTGAAATTGAATTTATGTTTTAATTAAGAAGAGGAAGAGAAATATGAATAGTTTGTTTAAATGAGTCAAGAGTAGTGTTTGATGCCAATGATTTGACTAATGAACTAGTCTATTAATAGTTTCAATTGAATTTTGTTGAGATTAGTTTAGGTTGTATACTGTATATCTTATTTCACGATTTGGTTTTCGATCTAACACGAAATCTAGTTACTGCAATAGAGTTCACTCCAGATTTTGAAAAAAAAATGAAAACACATCTCAAAATACCTGGAGTGCATCCATATCTTAAGAATACATCAGAGTTTCAGGTACAGAATGGCAAGCCCAGGTATTAATTAAGAGTTTTAGTAGATATATGGTATTTACTAATTCGATTTATAAATTGTTGCACTTTGTTTATATAATAAAATATAAAAATATATATACTTGCTGTTTGATTATCACTACTATTGTGGCTCAATTTATTGGATCATATTAGACGGTGTGCTTCCTTGATTACTAACATACTATATAACATATTAAATGTTTTCTTTACTTGAAGAGATATGAGCAAGAAAAGAAATACCTAGTATAAAGGTTCGAATAAGAAAATAAAAAAAAAATTTCTCTAAATAATATCATCCTCCAGAAATCTTTAAAAGCATAATAAGCTTTTAAACTGCATATTATTGCGATACGCAGATTTCAAATACATTGTTTTTTAGTGCTCTGTCAAAACATTAGAGTTATTTTGATATATAGCAGAGATATTCTGAAAATCACTAAGTTTACAAATCATATTTATATAATTTATTTGCGAATTTATAACCCTAATGGGAAGCGCTTCTAGGTCAAGTCGAACAAGTTACTGTTTAGACTCTGATTATGCTATATGTA